ACACCCAACCGCTGTCTTCACCATGGATGATGACTGGCAAGATGCTGCGTTTTCTTCACGCCACATGCACAATCGCAGAGGAAGCAGCGGCAAATCCAGACACAGTAGCGCCTTTGATGTCCGCAAGACATTCGCAAGTTACTCGATCAAATGCCCAGCCTGGCAAAAGGCCTTAACTACAGACGGTGATGCGCAGTCGGACCAAGAAGCTTCCTTGGAGTTGTACCGGCTGACCGAATCCGGCGAGGGCGTTGTGGGCGAACTCTTCCTCCCAGGTGTGCTGCGGTCATCCGTCATTTTAGCCGGTAGTCGAGACAGTCTACGACGAACTATTGCGGATCTCGAATCAGGCGAGGATGCGTCTGAAAAAGATGATCAAGAGGGACAAGGTGATACCAGCAGTAATACCGAACCCGAGTCGCCAGCGAAAACGCGCTTCGACACATTTGAGAAGAACAGCTTCCGTTCTCCCAAGTTTTGGTTTCGCTGGAGTGGTGTACCACATGGTGATTCCCACTCAACTTCGAAAGAGACTGGCTCTTTTGAATCAGATCTAGGTTACCTTGTCTTTTCTGGTAATGATTGCCGAAAGTTCAAAGGCACTATCAATTGCGCTTCTTTGAAGTGGAAGAACGTAGCCATCACCGGCCACAAGATGATTGGGAGATCAGAGTCGGACACCCAGGTCACATGGGGCAAAGATGAGGTTCTGCTTTGAGGAATTCTGTTCATGTATTTATTTCGGTAATCTAGTCGCCTTCTCTCTGCGGTAATGGTAATGAAATGATTCGATTTGCAACCATGCTCCGCTGTTAATCATGCCAGTCAGCATTCCCGTAGCTGATTTTCTGGATTTTGTGATTTCCACATCTTCACATAACTGGATACGTCGAGTCCATTTATTGAAACGTGTCAGTCGCTTTCTGGCAGCTGAAGATTCATTCTCGACATACTCAGCTACGAACACAAAAGCGAAACCTATATGTAAGACGCAGCGAAAGTAACAACTGCATACAAAAATATGATCGACGTCATATGATCACTGAGTCTTCCAAATTTAGTTCTCTTGGGATTCAGATACTCCTCTTTTGGATATCGCACCCCTGTTTTCTCATCCATCTGCAACGCCTCATCTGCAGTGACTTGTACTGGTGGCCACAATATATAGCTCACAGGAATCAAGCAACTGATAAACTGACCCAACCACCATACTGGGGGCCACCCAATTCTTGTGAGCAGAAATATCCACCGATCACGGTCTGATAGTAAACGCTGTTCCAAATAAGCAGTACCGATCCCAGCCTCTGGAACGAAACAGCGGGCAAAGTTGAGTGCGAGACCGATCAAGCATGCCAATATGTATAAAACGTGTATCCATACCATCTGTTGCAAAAACAGTTCGCGGAAACGTCCTACGAAGCCTGAAAGATTGGGTCGCCGCTCTTTGATCGAGGCAGACAAACTCCCACTTGGCATGAAACCAGGCGTTGTCCCACCAAATTTATCTGGTAGAATGAATCCACGAACGAGCGAGAGCGCGTAATATGGCACAAGCCAAATATCCGCTTGATCCCAGCGCATGGCATCTCTGTAACCAACAAACAGCGCCAGACTGGCTTTGTGCGCAGTGTCGGAAAAGACCCATAAGCCGACGAGACGCAGTAGCCAAACTAGCTGCCAGCGTTCATGGTACACGACAAAGGGGTAGCCGGCGAGCAGGGCAACAAGATTTCCGACGAAGCCGATCCAGGTTAAGGTGCAGTTGGCAAGAGAACTTGCGCCGAATACGAAACCAGCAAGGCGTTGGCGAGCAGTACAGAATGGTATTTTTGGACCCCAGAGGCGGAAATTTAACTGTCGACAATCAGCTTTTCTTCTACCGTCATGTGTATTCGACATATTGTAGAAAGTGCCTACCTTGAACGCAGTCTGAACATTGCCAATCGTCTATCACAAACTATCGTCAGCAAATCAACACTCAACATACTTGCGTACCAGCCACTCACCCATCTTGTCCGCTGCTTAATATGTCCACGCAACGTCTCCGGCATCTCCCCACACTGCATATACTCATCCACATACGCAACCTGCCACCCCTTCCCCAGCAATAACGAACTACACGCCGTATCCTCGCTAATGGAAAACGCAGGAAACCCGCCAATATCCGTTATTGCATCTCGTTTGACCAGGTACCCGGACCCTACGCAATCGGCTGCTCCCAGGCCATCGTGTACGGTTTCTGTTACGGAATAGAAGTAGTCAAGATCCTGGCGTACATGGTCGTTTTTGGGTATGTTCCAGAAGTTTTGCGGTGGACATGCCATGGCCATTTTGGGGTCGGCAAGGAGATGCGGCATTAATTGGCGGAGCCAGTTGGGTTGTACGATCATGTCCACGTCTAGGCCTGCGATGAAGGGTGAGGGTGGGTCGTTGAGTTTGGCGCTGTAGTAGAGGCCGTTGTTGAGATTGCCTGCTTTCTGAGGTGTCTTCGTAAGCGAAAATTATCTCAAAGGGTATTTTGAGAACTCACGTAATCTGGGATCTCTGGGGATGGTCGGCTGGTGTAGTGTACAAAGGGATATTTCCCCTGCAAGTGCAGTATCTTATCCTGGAGGTCTTTGTTCCCACCATCGTCACAAAGAATCACGTTTAAACGGTCTGCCGGCCAATTCGACTCGCATGCAGATCGTACGACGTTCAGAATAGTATCGTGTTCCTCTCCACACGCAGTGATCAGGACTGAGATGACGGGTACGTCTTCTCCTTCGAGGAAAAGTTGGGGTCGACGCGGACGTCGGAGAACCAGCACGCGGTTAAAGTAGAGAAAGATAGAAGGTACGTATTGAAAGAATTCAATGAAGAGAAAGCACCATGCGAGAACTAGCTGCCGATTGCCTTTGAGGTGTGTGTAGACGACGCAGTAGACTCGGAGGCAAAAGTATAAAACGAGGGCTACGGGGGTTAAGAAGCCCGTTACGCAAACGAATGGCCAGAGAGCATCTGGTGCTCTAGCCATTTTTACGAGCTAGAGCAGTGGATTGAAGAGATGGGACAACGAGCGAAGCAGACGAATGCTTCTCTAATCTATCCCCAAACTCAGAATGCCAGCATAGATATAATCTCCACTAACGCTTTCTTGTTTTCAAAAATGATTCATTAACCCTCTTTCTCCATCCTGATATTTTTACGCTTATCACGCAGTCTGTCGATCGTGAGCATAGATGCATATGTGAACTTAGTGATCGCCGCCGATGCAATGTCGAGAAATTAGACACCCGCTAATAATTCCTAGATCGGGGTACATACTGGCTCTTTCCGAGTGCTCCAATGATGACGACTCTATCTTCATTTCTTCATTTCACTGTGGCACTCTGGCAGCCCTACAGCTTGCCCGTTTGCGTATTGGAAGCTGAAATTAATATGCGCAAAAGTCAGTACTCAGTAGGAAAAACACGCTGTTACATCATCTGCAAACTCCGAAGATCACTTCCCCATATACAGGCTACCCTCCTCGAGGGCCCCAGCCCAAACAAGCAATGCCCCCCAAAAAACCTAATATTGACGACCTACGCCTAGAAGAAGCATCTCAACAAAAACAACATACCCAAATCACACGCAAGTCAACAAAAACATGCGCACCCAAAACACTCACCAATCAATGATGCACCACGCTTTCCCATTCTAGCCCCAAAATACCTGCCGCTTGCAAGACCACTACTGCAAAAGACGAAGCTTGGTTCTCAAAAGCAAAGAAACAGCAAAGTCAAAGCTACGAAAAACGTCGATCGCAACGGAGCGAGCCGAGATCGTATCTGAAGCTATGACCTCATGCATTTGTAGCCATTGCATTATAGCTACGAGAAGCAGGTTCCCCAAGGGCACAGCGTATGTTTCCTTTTTGAAAACAAGAGAATCGTGGTCCGACTTCTTTTGCTACGTTTTTTTTTGGTTTTGTTTTGCAGCGGCTCGTAACGATTTGCATGCAGTATGAGATGCATAACTCGAGGATACGAGATGGGTAATATGCAAATGATGGATATTTTGGTTTTTGTTTTTGTTTTTCATCTGTGTTGCATGGTTGGGGGTGGGGAATAAGGAAAATGGGTTCATGGGTTTTTTCCAGGTGCTACTTGATGAAGCGAAAGGGGCGTTTGTAGGCTGAGATGACGATTCCTCGAATTTACATCACAGCCTGCGCGGATTGAAGCACACGAATGCTTGGTGGATGTTGGTAATTGGCGTGCTGAGGCTTTAGGCATACGGTAAGATTATGAGAGATTCGGAAATATAATGAGAGACGAAAAGCACCGAAAGCCAAGTCCCCATACTTGAAAATCATGTGATTGAGCGTAATCCGATTGAGGAAAGAAACTCAGCTTTATCTTACTATCCAGACGCTGCACTGGAGCTACTAGACAAGTCTCGTAATGGCTTATGTGTAGTAATCTCTGCATATCGTGTAAGAACGAATGACTACATGGCTCAGTGATACTTGAACGTAACGCCAAGGATAGCTAGCCTTTTCCTTCCTTGTAATACATCATCGCTAAGTTTTAGTATTAGAAAACGCGATACGTGAGGTAGGTATTTACTGTACAACGAGTAGTGGGTAACAGGTCTTTTATATTGTTCTACCGAAAAAATGCTAATGTCAGGATGAAACGGCTCGAACAAACATGTTTATTCCTTTCTCTTAGTGAATACTTGATATAACAAGGTAGTTATATCATGGATATATTAGTAAACATAATAGTCTTGGTCTACGATGCAGCACTATATTAGAGCATCAGGACAATAACGTAGAGAAAAATTCATCTTAGCATTTGAGGGTCAGTAAAAGTGAAACTGTTCTTTCTTAGACGGCGCGCAGCATCTTGTATGTATCATCTATCAAATGATCTATAAGTAGCTCTAGCACGGCTTCTAATTAGTGAGATAATCTCAGCCATAAAGATACCAACGAATCAACACCAACACTACACGAGATCTTTCCCGTGGAATCAATCTTGAGAGACCTGGCATGTAGCATTTGGCCAGGGAGTGACATCCGCAATATTGATCCTGGCACAATCCTGAGAATACTGTTTCTGGATCTTGTCCAAGGGTAGATTCAAGCCGTCCGTGTTCAGTAAACAGCGGTCTCCGGGGATCATGCGACCGGCAAGCTTCTGATGGTTGACAGTGATTGTTCCGTGGCAAGTGACTCTTGTTCCGCCTTCTATGCTATATTTGGATGGATCGATAATATTGCATTGGCAAGCTGTGTTGGCCTATACGGAGTGGTTAATTCGGAGTTCATGTACTACGAAAGGGGAAAATGGGAAGTCATTTGGGAACGCACAGAGGCAATACCGGCGAGGATAAAGATGGCGGCTAACGAATTAAACTTCATGATTGCGTAGTGGTGGGGCACGGGGAAGGTCCTCAAGGCTTTTTTTCGTTTGAAAGGATACTAAGAGTAGATGATGAGAGGGTGATGCCGGTATATTAGTTTCTATATGCACGCAAGTCACAGGCGATAAGAGCCCCTTGGCGGTCTAATTTGCGGTGTAATTTATGGCCAGCTAACGATACTGAGAGGAGAATGGGGCAGTTACTTGTAAGGCAATTTTGCCGTACGATTCCAGACCTAGCTGAAGAACTTTCAAAAACGAGAACGCTCGGTGTTGAGAATGATCCTTCCTCCTAGTCTCCTTGGTACATGTGCATTTCATCGTGTCGTCACCTACAGAGTAATGGTTGTTTTCTCGATACCTTTGGTTTATGTAAAATCTTGTTTCTGGTGTTAATGCACTATCTGCCATCTTAATCTGGATAGAGGCTAGCCAGTCCCCCTTTCGAAGCTATAATCCCCTGAGGGGTAACAAAACGGAGACGGAGCGGTGAACGGACACCATAGCTCTCCAGATGATGGAGAAATCCATCATGAGTGACCACTACTATCCTGATTTTCCATGGTAATAAGTGGATGCTCCCGATATCTCATGGCATACCTTTCAGCAATTCACATACTAAGACAGTAAATTGATCACCGCGTAATTCTTAGTAGCATTGTTGATCATTGCGCACTTTTCCCTGTCAATTCTGGTACCTGAGCTTTTAAAGTATACATTTACACTTTTCTTCCTCGGCAAGAGAGTGGTAGTGCAGTGCGTGGACTATTTGGATTGATATTTCCATGGGTTACTTTGCTTTATAAAATCTCTTTTGTTTCCTTTTGTGAGGTTGATTAAGAACCAGTGTCATCTGTGAGCAATGCCAGTCCAAAGGCCAAGTGTGCTTTCAGATTTTCAAGGATGTTTTCTAATGTAGATAGGTCGCTCTCTTCTCAATTTACTGTGAGTATGAATCACCTTGAGATAACCAGTTCGATAGGTTGAGTATATAATATTACAACAGCCCGTCTGCTCTCTTTAATACCTATACATGACTCTTCTATCTACAAGGGAAGCTTAGAAATTGATACATCTCGATATTATGGCGTTTGCATAACATGGGAGTTTGAGTTTCATCATGTATATGGAAAGAAAAAGTGTAAAGTGTGACTATCGATTTTCGTTTATATAATAGAGCAGCGGAACTTGGAGTGCAAAGAACATTTCAAGTTTCCATTTTTCCACTGAATACCTCTTATTGTATGCGCTGACATCATTTGTAGTACCTGTTCAGCATACAAATTCCCACTCTTCACTACTGTAATAATCAAAACACCGCTCCTAGCTTTCCCTCCTCCTCCCAACCTCATCACCAACCAAGCAACTCAAACCATAAAACCCACGAAACCTGAACCCACCTCTCACCACCTCTCAAAAAAACGCATCTAGAACCCTTACAGCCCCAAACATTACATCAGCAACCCCTTTAGGTAACCAAGTAAGACCACGAGGCGACTTGAAACAGTCCCCTTCAACAACTGGCACGCGCTACTGTTTCTCAGGCCTTGTGCCGCGTGGACGAACAAGGTGGGTCCATGCGAAAGTACCAGAATAGGATGTGCGGCATGAACGCGTGGCGGCACTGCATGGTCTTGTGTACTTGTGACTGATTTTGGCGGTATCATACGAGTGTGCGTCATATGGTTCCTGGACGAGAGAAGAATCATGAGGAGATGTAGAGATCAAAAGTTGTTTAACATTTGTTTCATGTTTGTTACTGATGATAACTTGAGAGTTCATGGTGAACCTCGCTGCCGTGCATGTTGTATGCTACGTGGTAATGTCATGTGTTTTTTTTTCATGATGATAGAGTGCCAGGGACAAGCACTTTGAACCCTTTCTTCGCTCTAATCTTGCATGACTCTTGAATGTATATGTACAGGTCGAATGGGTATGTAATCCTCTGCTCTTGTGTGATGCTCTTCTATCCCCAAACCGGGCGCGTGTATTTCCTCCTTCATATGGACCTCCGCCTTTTGCGAAAGATGCGCTTCTTCGATACAGTGACCTTGTGACATGTGGCTCGGTATCGCGATGGTAGTCTTTGTACAAGGATAGCGTTGAGAATAGCTCAGTCCTCGCCGAAGACGATGAAGCTCGCCTCCTCTTCAACTTCCCAATATGTGCAGCTGCCCTCACTATCCTCATCACTGTACTCGTCGTCAGATTCGACGTCTTCCCAGTCACTATCGCCATCGTCATCTTCAATTTCGTCGATTGTGTCAAGATTCTGGAACGACTCAAGCAGTTCGGCGACTGGCTCTTCAACGTCCGTGACATGACAACTCTTTGCGTGAGAATAGTCTTCCGAGTCTTCTGAGATCATGTCCTCGTCATGGTCGTCGCCATCATCGCCAACCACAGTGTACTTGCCGGGTTCGTAGCGCGGTGATCTCCGATGGAAGTACGGATTAGGTCTTCCGGGCTCAAAATCCGTGTCTTCTGCGAATGCAACAGCAGAATCCCTTTTGGGGCGCGGTCGCTCATCTACACGTCCTGTGGTCTCTGCCCAATACAGGTCTAGTGCCTTTGACGCGGTTTGTACATTTTCGTGACTCTCCTCTGGATGCTGTGTTGACCATTCAGCCTCTTGTGCAGCCATGTTTTCAATAACCGAGAGTTCTTTGAGTGCGCCTATCTTGCCTTTGCACCAGGCATTGTAGACGGTGTCTTGATGCTCGGAGCTAGTCAGCGTGCATGATGGCGCACGACCACCTGCATTCTCAAGGGCTTGCGACAATACATGCATGTACTTGACGTGCATGTCAATTGTACATACGGGGCATCGGGATTGGAGTTGGCCGGCTGCTGTTGGGTGCATGGTATGCTGACAGACTGATGCGACAGGCGAGTTTGACGTGGACTTGTTGGTTTCGGATGTGGGGGGCGCAATGTGGCCAGTAATGTCGTCGAAGATGTCGGAAAAATATCCAGAGTCTTGTCGCTTCAGCCATTGTTGGAAGTCTTCGTACTCGCCGGCGGTGGGAATGTAGCCTTGCTCATTTGGTCGGATGTTTGCGTGCAAGCACTGCCAACGTTTGTACAGCTTTAGTTCGCGCGGCGACAGAATGACGCTGGCGGGGATTTTTGGATGGGCCATGGTATTGTGTGGTATCGGCGTGATGGAAACAGGTGCTGGGTTTCTGGTGGGAGGTTCACTCTGTAGCCAGGTATTGTTGAGAAGCGCAATGGTTTTCGAGAGCGTGGTGGCCCAGAAATGTTGTGTGTGTGTGTGTGTGGAGGGGATTCTAGAGACGACAAACTACGTCACGGTGTTGGAAAACCACGGTTCAGGTGTCCGGGTGAGCCGAATGTGACAACTAGTGCCAGGAAATTCGTGGGAGCAAATAGGGCGGCGTGAATGCGCTTCTAGTGGGCGTCTATTCGTCGGCTAGAGCGAACAATGCAGGCGCAGCCGTTGTGCGCAACGCACAATGATGGTGAAAGTGAAGGCTTTGTCGGATCGCGTGGATCCGGCCGTCACGCAGCAAACGGTTGTGAATGCAAACAACCGGGATAATCTACAGGGAGATATGTCCTTGGAGGTGCAGTGTTTCTTTTTTTTGTTGGCCGACAGGCTCTAGGTAGGCAGAGAAAAAATAACCGATATGTGGACGCCGCGTTCAGACGCGACGAGCAGTGCCGACAACGTCGCCCGACTTCTCGATCTTAGGAAGGTTGGAGTACCGGGGAAAAGCCATGATTGTGGGGGAGCAGCAGCACATTCCTTGGACCTGGTGGATATGGGTGGAATGTTCGCGAGATGTCGCGCGGGGTTTTGCTGTGCTCTTGGGTCGGCGTCGGCTGCTGAAGTGGGGGGAGGGGCCGGATGGAGCGAGACGGATGTTCGCTATGGATGCGTGAATGGGTGTGTGTGTGCGTGCGTGCAGCGCTTCACCGGAGAGCGCGAGGTGGATCGCGTCTTCAGTGCTAGGGGGTGGTTGTGGTGAAGGTGAGGGCGAGGGTCAAGATGGATTGTGTCTGTGCAAAGGGGACAAAGAAAGGGCCGTCGCCGCTTCGCCTGGCCTGGTTTCGGGCGGAGAGAGCGGGCGGGCTGTGTGGGCTGAGCGGCTGAGAGGACTGTGCGTCATGCCTGACTCATTGTCTGCAATCACAATTGTCTTTTGGCGCTGCGGCCGGACTGTGGCCGTGCAGGCGTTCCCTGTGCATGCACATGTGCCACTGCACGTGATGATGCACGTGACTACCGCCATGGTCATGTGATGTCTAAATATACTTCCATACTCACACACCCACACCCACACATCAACACCCAACACGCCTGCCGAGAGCATATGCTGACCAGGCTGACACCATCTCGCGCCATCGCTGTGACGTACCAAGTACAGCCCCCCCAATCCTTCTCACATCACTTGGCCCGATGACCGTCATACGGCCTCCCTCCCCGTGCCATGAACCCCTCCACATCCAACACACATGGCTGTGTGCTGTGTGGTTCGCTAACCATGCCTCGGGAAACCTCCTCAAATCCAAACTCCGAAAGCCTGGCTCGCTCCATCCGCACCTGCTCCACGATACTTCCTTACCTATGCAACCGTTTGCCGGCATCATCCTGTGAAACACACACACACACATACACACACACACCTGCGATACACCAAGTAAAATACTTTCACCTTCCGATTGCCACCGTCCCGTCGGCGGCCGAAAAGCGCCCGCATCTTACAGGAGAAAATGTATGGTTTGCTCGATAGTGGTAAGCTCGAGGTTGCGGTAGTCCAAATCCCGCCTTCGCCAAAGAGCAAGGCTTGTGTCGGTTGACCAACAGCCACTACCCCAACTTCCGCTATGACCCTTTCAGCGCAATCTTAAAGCCGCCGATGCTAGCTTCATATCTTGCCATCATTTCCGTGGCGCATCGACATAAAGTGTCTGAATACATGGGGATACTTACGCGATGCAAAGACCTGCCTTGGTCATGTGTGAAATACGAGTC